AATAATATGAAGCCTTTAATAAAAAAAAAAACCTGGTTTACCTTCAACGCATCTCCAATTAAAGATTGACCACGTAGAACCAATGACATTAAACAACATGATAGGCAACTCTGACATCACTCCATAAGACTACAAGCGAAAGATTGTATTTCATGATACGCTCCAATGCACATATTTCTCGTCGCCTTTCGCGACCGTTTTCCGCTCGCTTTTGCTGCTCGGCGTCTTTTTTCCGTGTAGTACCTGCCTTTTTGCGCCTGTAACGAAAGAAAATAATCTTTATATCTAAGAAGTTTTGCTCACTTGGAAAGCTGGAATGGCAGACAAGTTGTAAAAAGCAATTCTGGACATCATAGACGATTTTTTTATCAGAGAAGATTAGAAACGCGATAGCGGAAGGATTTGGGTGGAACATTTTGCAGATATTGACAAAATTCAAAGTTAGTAATTTTAATGTTTGCGCTTAAACATTGAAATTTCATTCAAAGAGGGTGTCATACAAAACAGCAAAAATGTTTTTACTTCTCTTAACGGTTCTGTAATACAATTCCATAACACAAAGTTTGCCCCTATCGAACTTGCTTTTGTAGGTGAATTTATTAGACATATTACATATTCAGTTAATCGTAGGTAACATTGCTGGTACATAATGCATCGTAGATAGCTTTGTTTACATTTAGGAATTTAGCTCATAGCCCACTAATTAATATTATCTTCTATGCAGAAGGTTGCAGGGCTGAATTCAACTTGCAGCATTACCGATCACCTGACGATGCTCATTTAGTTTGGCTCGAGCAAGTCTTCTTGAAATGCTTGTGTGGATGGAAACTACCTATATGTTTTGTCTTCCTCCGATTTTAGACAAATTTATTCTGAGGGATTTCGCATATAATTCTCATTGATTGTTGGCTGTTTATAATTCCTTTTAATTGTGAATTCTGATTATAACAAAGAGTTAAAAATTGTTTTTACCTAATTTACTGGCACCTTTTTCTTGTCCATACTCCAAGCAGAGGTAATAAACAAGACAATACATTTATGTCATCTTGAAGCAAAATATGCACACTAATTAATAGATTGACACATTGAGATAATACATCATGACAGAAAATACAAGTTAAAGATATGTATGACCATCACATGGTAATTAGAATTGAAAATTTAAGAGGGGCTGTGGAGTATGAAAAGTTCAAGACAAAGAAAAGAACAAATGTGCATAGCTCATAAACTCTCAATTTTGCCTCCATTGCTCTGTGAAGCCCAATATATTTCGAGTGGCTGAATTGGTTTACCTTTATGATAGCAACGATTTTGTATTTAATATAGCGAGATTTTTTTCAATTTTATTGAAGTGATAATATATTGCAAAGCAATGCTTGAATCTTTTAGAACAGATCAGTCGTGTCAAACTCACGGGTTTTCGAGAGCCGCATTGCATTTTGAAAATTGTAAAAAGGGCCGCAAACAGTTTTTGATAATGTATACTTGAAAGATATTTTTAAGATAGTTTTAGTTTGTGACATATATTGTGATGCAACTAAACAGTTGGATTAAGTTTTATTATTTTCTTCAATTTCAAATGCAATTACATATTAATATTTGCATTCCACTATTATTGCAATATTTGCAAGTTACTGTATTCATTATAAAAAATCATAAAATTCTATGTACAACCATCAAAATCATTTTTGAACAAGCTTTGGATAAGGAAAGAATAATACATACACTAAAAATGATTTAATCTAAATATATGAACCTAATATTAACTAAAATACTACAGTATAAACTTAATGTTTTTTAATTACATTTGTACTGACGTATGGCATAATTTTTTATGTCACCAGCATACTCAGGCCAGACTGAAATGATTTTATAGTACCAACTCTAACTAACGAGGTCACATGATCATGGGTTAATCTGGATCTTTGCGAATATTTAATTAATTCCAGTAATGCAAAAAAGTTACTTTTATCATTTCATATATAGATCAGTAAAAAAACAAATGACAGATTTTTTCGACAAGACATTTCGCACCACATTGCGTGGCATAGGATTGCTTGATTTATTATTGATATTGATTTTTTATTAACTGAGTCGTTGTATAATTATATTAATATACAAACACATGGAAATTTTTTGTTCAAAGTTGGACTTCGAATTTGTCATATTGACTGCTGAGCTTATTGTGTTTTTTCATTGTATTGATGGAAATATGACAAATTAAACAATGTGCTTCAGAATTTTGTGAAATGCAGAAATATTGCAACTCCCATTTTCTTCGAAAATGCCACCTTCTTCATGTACTTTGCGTTTAATTTAATCACTCAAGTGTTTTATTCAAGTATTCTTTTGCTAGCTTGATGTGTATTCTTAATTAGGTCAAAATAAGGACGAAAAAAAATTAATATTTCAAAACTACTTTCAGTAAATTGTTTTCTGTGTGAATAATCAATTTCACTTTAAAAGGTTTGAAAAATCTATTACATTTAGATAAAAAAAAAAACTTCCAAAATACTATTACAATTATTGTTAAGCGTTCGAGGGCCGCACTGGAAGTTCTCTGGGGCCGCGAGTTTGACATCCCTGGTCTAGAATGAAGTTGTCCAAAATATATATAACAGTATTTTATCATGAATGATGATTATACCCCTTCCGGAATTTCTTCTATAGTACTACCAAAAGTTGATGAACCAAATATAATACAAGTGCAGTGAGTTACCCGTAATCCTCATTTTGCAAAGCTGTTTTAAGTATGTCTGGCGTGTTTTGTGCATTTTTACAAATAAGACCGCTTATGCAATCTCACGCTTTGGAATTTTTAGTTATTTTCCTCAAGCCCTGCAGGATGTGGGGACCATACACAACTCTACCGAAGGGTCAAATGTCTTTGCATGCCTCCATAGGTTGTTTTTCTATTGCAAACATTTATGGAGTACTCTAATTATATTTCTTGGAATCACACTGTCACTGATATGTCGCCAGACTTCTGATATCTCCCCTTCTGCTATAATTGTCCTGTGACTAAATAATAGGAAATTGAGATTAGACGAATAGTTGAAAGTTTTGCTTTATGTCGGCTTAATTTCTTGATTGATATACTTACTATTTTTGCTATTGCCTCTTGTGCTGCAGGGGTCTCACAATGCTTAGACAGGTTTGTCCACAACTTTCACATCTGAAGAAAGAGAGGAGATTTATTAATTTTCGCGTTAATAAAGCAGTCTATATGATTTAGAATGGAAAAGCTAATAAATCCAATATCTCATGTTTTATGAAAAAATGTTTTACTGAATTCGGTATATAAACCAACTAATAAAAGGGTTTAGTCAAAAAATTACGAGCATTCGTGTCTCCAAATATTTGAGAGATCAGACTATACAATATAGACCGGTATGAGTGAAATGTTAGGTGAACTTGTTAACACTTTGATTCAATACGCAAATAAAAGTGAATGCGCAATAGTATGTTACAATGAGCAGCAATCAGCAATGACTATATATCCTCACTGATTAAAAAAATCCAAATGGAGGTGCATGAACTATTTGAAACCATAAGGGGTAAGTAAATATGCAATTTCGGCAAATGGGCAACTACGTACCGTACTGAATTAATAACTTCGTAGTATTTGACAAAGGCTGTCTTTCCCACATGTACTTAACAGGGCGATGCCCGGGTGTGATATACAACAATAGTATTTACCTTACCCTTTTACCTCAACTTTCCAAAATATCATTAAAATCGAAAGCAGGCACGAACACCATTCATGCTATGCCTTGAAAGCAGCACACATTCGCTCGTTTTCGTCTCGTCAAGTATGTGCATTGGAGCGTGCTATCGGATACGATCTTCGGCCAAAAATGCCGTAGTTGCGCATCATGTTGTTTAATGTCATTGGTAGAACTTTGCAATTCATGGATATTACCTTCTGCAAGACACCTGACTTCAAACTCCGAGCCATTTAAAATACGACCCCGACTTTTGTCTCTGGTTTGACAAAGATTTTAATACCAATTCTGACTCAAAACTCTAAGCCAAATATATTTATTGGCATATATCAAGCTCATGTCAATAAAAAACGCCCTAATACTGATTCAGCCTATTCCAAGAAAATATCGATTAGAGAGTGGTTTACGGCATATCCTACATTTCTTGTTTTGCGGATCGTACATAAACATGTATAACAATCGACAAGAAAAAGTATCATAAATCTGAAAGACATAGTTTATGCCATAGTCGTGCCCAGTATGTTCCCAGTTTATTTTATTTTAGAGGGGTGTTTCCAAATTCAGGGGGTGGTAGTTATTTTGTTATTAGTGATAAAACTATATTTAACTTATAAAAATGTGTTGTGTATTCGATTGATCATCTTCACCGGCATTTGAGCCACTTTCTGAATATATATTCAAATACATTTACACCACCCAACGTCATGAAGTCTATTTTATCTAAGGAAAAACATGTCGATAGGATATATATATATATAAATTTACTCAACTATCTAGTTAAAACGCCCGTATGTCCTATAAAGTGGTCTTCATCGATTAACAGTTGTTATTCGTTTCCTTTTTACGACCGATCAAAAATCGACTGAGACCGAAATCCATATCAATTTCCGAAAACTGGCATCCTATGTGTAAATAAATATCCAATGTGTCGTCAGCGCAAAGGTTGAACTACAAGACACGCGATTATGGTAATAATAATTCATCAAAACAGTCAATTGCAAGTCCAGGTTCCGAGGTTCGTGATTTGAATATATCAATGTGTAAGATATGTTTTACATTTATGGCTCACAACCGATTCTGTTCGGAAAAAAACAGCGCAATTTGACAATCAGACGAGTTCACAGTATCCCGGTCCGATAGGTTATATAAATCCCACTATTGACATCCTATGTAAAATGTCAATGCACTTCCTTCCTAAACTCAAGTATTATGAATAATTGGTTTAGATCCAAAGGTTGTCGTCATTGAAAACTATAAAATGAGGTACTAAGCTACAAGTTTGTCATTGTAAATTTAAGGTTATATATTTTCTTGAAATAACACCATGAAAATATTTTCGTACGCCATTATTTTATGGTTCGTTGTATTTGCTTGCGCAACGGCAGATGGCGATGACGACGAATGTGAACTACCGCCCGCGCAACAAGATATCGACTGGAGCAAGGTAAAAGATGCAATTTCAATATGTCATTAAGTTAATGATTTTTACAATAATTTGCTAAATTATCATCTCAATGATAAAAAGGGGATATGATGGTGACATAAATATTAAATAGTTTTCTGTTTCTGAAGTATTGTTGTTAAAAGAAGTTCATTCTAACAGCGCTGTTAGAATATTATGTTCAATGCCCGTCAGAAATTCCCATTTTAGTTGGTAAAGGAATAAAATCGTTTCTTCTATTTATTCCAATTTATAATTTATTTTTTGTAATTGTAAAGATGACAGGAGTGTGGTACGAAATTTTGAATGTTAGAACTCCTTCAGACGAACTTGTGCCATGTTTCCAAATTCGAGATATTCGATCAACAAGTAATGGAATATCCTATATGTTTAAAGACACTGGAAGGTATGTGCTCGAGTTTGGTGTCTATACCAGATAAATAACATTTATTCTATAATATTTACATAACAAAAACTGTTCTCTATGAAGGAACACAAATGTAACCATCGATGCAATAAAACAAAATTCTGGTGGATTCGTTTATAATCAAGAGCATGGTGAGTGAAAATAATATCGATTCTTTCCAAGTTGGCTCGGTGGTGTGGCCTTCAAGTCCATGCTCCCGAAAACAAATAACTAGTCGTCTAATCCCATACCCATCAAGTCCATCACACCATCAAGTCCATGCTCCCGAAAACAAATTACTAGTCATCCAATCCCATACCCGACATGGACTGCTAACCGGCCGATAGGCCTTAGTTCGCCATATGATTGAGCCATCCTATCATTCCCCTCTCCCTTGGGATAAATCCTATCGCGGACAACGGATTGTCCTATTCTCAAGATAACGCCACAAAGTTACCTTGTCGGCAATCTTACAAAGACTTACTATTCAACAGATTTGTTAAAAGCTATTACCCAAAGTATTTTCAGAAAATAGTTACAAACTTCCATAACTTGTAAGAAAACTTAGCTTGATAAGTACGGTATATGTATTATTTAGTTGGAAACTGGATGAAGTACCTAAAAGACGAAATCAAACCAAGTCAGGAACCAAGTCCCGAGTTACTGGAAGGTACGCATTGTTAAGTTGTACTTTGTGAATTTTTCAGCAAATTGTTTTTGTGATTATAAAAATTCAAATTCATTTACAGAAAGCTTGGATACTTTCTTTGACGAGTTCCGTTACTTCACCGACTACGAAAACTATGCAATATCTTTGCTTTGCACTAAAAAAGGTACCCAGTCGATTGTTTTTTTTTTGCTGTAAAAACATCTCTTTTCCCTTTGCCTGAGAATATTTTTTAATTTCAGGAAAGAAACTTTACTGGATTGCAAGCCGTACAAACAGCCCTAACGCAATAACAATTCTCAAGATTTTCAATAAACTCATTAAAGTCAAGAAAGGATGGAACAACGTCCCGTTGTATTTTTCTGGATGTGTAGACTTCGAAAATAATGAGTAGCGATGTAGCGGTATCCATTTGAAGAATATTAAAATGATAATTTTGTGTTTAGTTATGAGAAAGTATAAACAAGATAAGCAGATAAGCTCGTAAATAAAATGAATCTGTGTGTAAAACTTGTGTTGCAAATTGTCTACCAAGTCCTAAAGATAGATCAGAAATAACAATAAGACAGCCTTGTTTTATGCTTTGCCTTTGACATCATTAACAGTTAGCTGACCAATTCAGTTCAGTACTGTCAGTGTTTTCACTGAAATTCCCAGCCCTACTTTATGGCAAGGATTCAAATATATATGACTGCAGACGATAAAACAGACATTGTAACCAATTAAGCTTTTTGTTAAGTTATAAATTTTTTTCACAGTCAAATATTTTCTGGCGGTGCATTTTTCAATACATGCCTCCAACTGTGATTGGATAGAGTCATAGAGTCATTGTTTAGTTCGACTGCTGTTAAAAAGTTCAAATAGCTTATCACAACTCTCTTATTGACTAGTGATGGCTGCTACTTATTCTGTTCAATATTCTACAATGAAGGAATGTGTAGCAAACGGCCCGAATATAAAAGTTCACGATTCACTGAAAATTGAATATAAAAATGATATATCTCATTCAGATAATAGCAATAAAAACTACAACGAGTCGAAAAGTCTCGTAAGTTATTTCGCATTGACAGGTATAAACACTCAATGCTCATTAGGACACTTATAACTGGTACTGACTAAAACAGTCCACACTGACAAATTGCTATCTCTGACCGATGGTCCATGCAAGCCTTTGAAATTGTCATCGCACTTGTTCAGTTCTTGCTTCCAGTGGTGACTTTTTGCCAACTACCTCCACAAATACAATATGAAGTAAACCTTTTATCCCAAAATTCGATGTTTGATTGAGGAAAAGGGTTTAACAATGACAACATCCCACACCTAGAAATGAAACCAACATTTCAATTTAGGGCAGCGGTTTGGTTCGGCCGTGTGTCACATCGTATAAGCATTAGGAATAAGATTACCATCGCACCTCTGATGGCGCTCCTGAAGTGTGCGTACCAATATGGAGGTAACTAATTTTGTTCATGAAGTTGTGTAAAGGGACGGAAGCCTATGGCGGGTGGTATATTCCCTTGGCTAACACAAACAGTCCCTGAACTCGTAATAGAACTAAAATAAGGAAAATCTGAATTAAATTATTGCCTAACCCTAACCTGGTACACATACTATGGGAGTATCCCTTTGATTACCCTACAGCGATTGGGGGATAACAATGTCCGAAATGATTGCTGGTCTTGTCACCGTGTAGGGTGGTTCACGCACGTTGCTTGATAAATTCAAATGTTGAATAGGTTTGGAGTATTATGATCAATTAAATTTGAAAATAAATAAATAGAGCAACAATATAGAATTACCAGTATTAGTCATACAAATTACCTTGTGCATGTTTTCAAAGCAGCAACAGGTGATTTTCCCAGGAATATTCGCCGCAAGTTATCTATTTTTCCAGAATCGTCATGTGGTTTCAAAAAACTGCTTTTGTTTATAGATATTTTATTTGATAATGAAGAACATGGTGGTTTACGATCATACTCGAACCTAAGAAAGTGTGATGAATTGTCTTTTACATTTTTATTATAATGTATGATCATTTAATCGAAACTCGAAAAGTCAATACATGAGTAAAGTTATAACTTATTTATTATAAGGTACAGATTTGCCACAGAAATACTTGAAGTAATTAATCATCGAACTCCCTCAAATTGAACCCTTCTCTATACCGAATTACTCTCCCAATATTCCTGCGCAGATAGCACTAAAAGGTCGCCATACGCACATAACTCTGAAGCTGAATTTGAAAGATTTTGAGACACATCTTACCAATATTAATAAAAGTAAAACATAACAATAATGGTTATCATTTTCATTAATTCTCTTCTGCAACCATCTGCTGTGATATGTGCGTACAGCGTCGGCATGCGAAATTTTATAAAATCAACATTTTCAGGGGGTCGACTTATATGAGAGGATATTTTGGGTTTACCCAGTAGTGATTTTAGTTGCCGTGTCTTTGCTGTATTTTAAACGCTATTTTGACTGCGAATAATGAAATATCCTATTAGTCTTACCTGTAAGGCATTGGTATCACTGATAAACGTTGTAACACACCATCAACTGGTTTAATAATATCAATCGAAGGTATAAGAATTTGATTCGGTAATAAACAACATTCATCTATTATATTATCCGGTATACGACCTTGCGTTTCTCCCATAGATACTGAAAAACAAAACTATATTTCCTCTCGCACTGTCGCTTGTTATGCTACAAGCGAACATGATTGACAAAAAAATTTTATAACTCGATTCTGCACTATGCTTTGAAATCATGAATTTTTTTTATTCAAATAACTGTATTTTTTTTTAAAACTCATGCTGAATCGAAACCAAGTAAATAGATGCATCATTTATATATTTAAATTACAACTTGCTATATACTTTATTTTTCTTTATGATGGAAGACACATGACACAACTTGAAAGTTGGATGAGTAATAACAGTGAGTTGTCAAAACGCGAAACAATTTTAGAACAATGTTGATACAAAATACTTTTTCGACAGTATTAATTTAGGTAAATACAATTTTCTGTCCTTAATTCAAACAAATTTCCAACAATTTGTTGAAAATGTTTCCACTTTGATTCATACCTGCACGATATACTTCTGTGAGTAGTTTGAAAATATAAGATAGTCCATCTATATGATCATCAAAACAACAAAAGACTGGTGAACATGCCGATTTTAATAATTTCCAAGTTTGTATGATAACGAGTAATTCTCGTAATATGGAAAGAAATTCTTTATCATATATAAGTGATGAACCAGGAGTATTTGAATTTATCTGAACAAAAATTTAAAATTGCACTGTGAATTCCGATCATACAATAAAATAATTATACACAGATAAGTAATAACTATCAGGTAAGTAGGTACTCCCGTAGTATGTGTACCAGGTTAGGTCATAATTTTATTCTGATTATCCTTATTTTGGTTCTATTACGAGTTCGGGGACTGTTTGCGTTAGCCAAAACAAAATGAGTTACCTTCATATTGGTACACACACTTCTGGAGCGCCGGTAAATATCTAACTAACTCATAAATATAAATACTAGACGGTAGGCTGATAAATATTTTCATAATTATAAGTATTCAATTTGAAATATTATAAGACTTTGTTATACTTTCATATCAATTGGATTACGGAAAAATTGTAGGAAAATGAATTTGCTGGCTAATCCAACAAACAAGCTAAAAAAAATAGCAAAACACTGGATATATATTATTTTACAGACAAACCAAATATTGAAAAAACACGAGAAATGAAGATTTGTGAAACAAGTAGTCTACTTACTGGTTGAGGAACAACTGATAAAATATACAAGGTAACATCTGCAATCCATTGTATTAATTGTTGCAATGACTGAAGTGACTGCGTATCTGTATCGACACACTGCAGTAACTTGTTGATGTCAGTTTCGAATGATGAACTTGAAAATTTAAAAAGATACAAAAAATTTGAATGTCCCGAGTTCTGTGATAAGATATGTAACTACATGGAGCAAAATCGTCTCACTCCCTAAATACAGCACTAAAACGATAAATTTATAAAAATTTGCATATAAGCTAGCCCTACAAAATACACAAGCAATCACGTGTATGACAACCAATCATAAACTGTTATTGCTGTCATAGCGTACCAAGCGCTGCTTTGCGTGTGTTTCCGCACGCTCTTATCATGAGAGCTTGATTAGAGTTGTAGCTGTTGGAATTAATTTAGCATAATGTCATTTCGTTTTCAGTGCAATCAGAGTTATGCATGTATAAGCTGACCACCCCTTAGCTTGATAACTTTTTTTTGTTTAAACTCCGCTCATACGCAAGGATATCCGATACATCTACATTTTAACTCACCTACAAACTTCATGCAGCTTGTCAGCTGGTGCCTGATCATCCATGGAATCATGTGGCGGCTGAAGTAATGATCTAAACACCTGAGAATTTGTCACAGAAGTTTAACATCAGTTTTACAATTACTATACTTTATATTCGTATTATAAAACGTCAAACCTAGCATGCAGAGAGTTATGCCTACAATATTGCAAGTTTTCGCATAATCGTCACATACCACAGTTATAGCCTCAAACATCAATCTTAGATGACAATCGACGGCATCTGCTGTTCTATGAGATTGTTGATAGATTGAAATTTTGACGGACAACATCCTGGACTTCAACATCTGTAAAAATTAGAATAGTAGCAATTATTATATGAATGAGCTAATACTAATATTTGATGGGGCTGGTACGTATCCGGTTCGGCACCCAATTTAATTAGCCGTGGGTGAAGTGGGGGCATGAGATTTTAACCCGAGATTGATAATCTGCAATGCCCAGACAGTTAATTCTCCCTTTTTTATTTATGACATCATAATGTGTTGTATGTTTCAAAACATTAACTTTGATACCTGTTGCATTGGTGGACTCTGGTTGCTAAATTCCTTTGAAAGCTGCTCACATACCAAATTAACAGTACTAGTTTGCATGTGTAACAATACGTCCCACCTGAAATGCAAATCACAATATAACTATTCAACTTTTGGCTCAGCGATTGGCACATAGTGCTAAGCCCTAAGATACTACGCTAGTCACTGCACCTCTGATTACTCTGCATGGGTTCGCAGGTTCGAATTCCATGCAGGATAATGTGCAAGAGGATTGCTAGACTCATCGCCGTCATAGGGTGGTTTACATAACCGCTGGTCTCTAACTAATCCCAGAACTGACATGGACTGACTAGTAACCGTTCGAAAGAGTTCGCCATATGATTAAGTCGTCTTATTACTTTCCTCTCTATGATAAATAAGTAAGGTCAATTCTACAAGTGTATTATTTTCACTTCCTAATATTACAATAAGATTTATAGTTGAATAAAATCCTAGTCAAATAGTAAGTTTTAATATTTCTCACAAAATTAAACTTCAAGATAATAAGTGAGACAATGAGCATACAATACCATTCATGTCCTGAAATTATGCAGAAGTATAGTAACTGAGATATGTGATGAGCTGCCATCCAACCAACTGGTGACATTTTCTGCAGCCAAGGTGCTATTTTGTACATCATTAAATTTGCATTATTGTCGAATACTGCCTGTAAGACAAAGAAAATTTGGAAACAAATGCTGAAAGAATAAGAAAAAGTTGAGAAATTTGAAAAAAAATCACTCAGGGGGAGAAAAAAAATCATACGCATTATATACACCAAGTAGCAGTTTTAAACTGACTGCAATAAGCGATGTCATGGAATTCTATTATGAACTGCCTATTCTTCGTTCCATGTTTTTTGTTATGCTAGATTAGTATGTGACCACTGACCAGTGTCACACGGATACTCGAAAAAAATTGAGTCAAAAGTTGTTAGCAGCCTTGGATAGGAACAAATTCCTAAAAATATCAAACTATAACCAAGTTTTCGCTAAAGCATGGGCAAACCTTGACAACAATAAGTATATCAAAGAGCAGATGTATCCCTTAGAATCATATCTAAACAATGAGTATTTAGCTCGGCGGTGTGGCACATCGTGCTTAGCGTTGGGAACAAGCTGACCACTGCACCTATGATTACCCTGCATGGGTTCGCAGGTTCGAATCCCATACGGGGATAGTTATGTGCGAGAGGATTGCTAGACTCTTCGCCGCTGTAGGGTGGTTACGTTAACCGCTGGTCGGTAACGGCTTTCTCCACCATCAAAACCATGCTCCCGAAAACAAAATAAACTGGCTAACCAATCTCATACCCAACATGGACTGGTAACAGGACGAGAGGCCGTGGTTTGTCATATGATTAAGCCGTCTTATCGGCTATCCTCTCCCCCAGGATAAATATGTAAATTCTATTTCATTCACACAAAATTTAAACAACTACTAGTTCATTGCAGAATCCATTTGAACATACGGTAATAATTTACTACCTACTACTTGGTATAATGAAGAAAAGCTATTTTAATAACTTGGTATCCAAAGTAGCACATATTCTCACAATATACAAGTACGGATTAAATCATGTAAATTACCTACCAGAGCACAGGAAGTAGCAGAAAATTCAATATGCTGTATCGTTGAATTTATGTCTTCCTTTCTTTGTCGCTTACCCAGTACTGTTGTTGTTGTTTGATTTAAATCATCCGATATTGAATGTGTTAGTAATGGAGCAAGTGTGATTCTGAAAAAAATCAATAAATTTTACAATTGTTTTATATATAATAAAATGGCCAAGTAAAAACAAGGGATTTCAAAAATCAATGTTTGAAAAAGGGTTTTAAATTTCATATTGTACCCACCTATGTAACAGTTGTATTGAATTGTTAGGAAAAGCGACAGCAATTGCATTCCCACAGAAAAAGTTTTTCTCATTCGCTGCTTTTATTGAAGCTGTTTGAGAACTCACAGGTATTGATGGTATTGATATGCTAACAGCCTAAATGAACAAAACTTTATTTATGATTACGATCAAGATTTTACATATTTATCCAGGGGGAGAGGAAAGGTGACAACATGGGTTAATCATGTAGCAAACGAAAGCCTCTCGTCCAGTTACCAGTCCATATCAGGAATGAGATTAGTTAGCCAGTTATTTGTTCCAGAAGCATGACAAGAGGCCGTGGCTCGTCATAATTCATGATTAAGCCATATTATCGACTTTCCTCTCCAATTGGATAAATATGTAAATCCTATTCCAACAAGCTAAACATAAGACAATATCTCTATAGAGTCCCCATGTTCAGAGCTCTCATGCTGTTGTTCTTGTAAGTAACCCAGCTTAAAGCAAATATAAAAAAAACTCTCGAAGCAACAGTTGAATGTAGGGAAGGATATAATAGTCCTAATTGCCATTTAAAGGCCTGCTTATGTTGTATATTACATCAAATAGTATAGTTGAGCATAAAGCCCATGAAAATATCTCGCAGAAATTTGGAAGCCAATCAAAAATATCTGTTCATTATTCAATATGTGACGTAAAATCGTACCCTTTGTGAAAGTGGAGTACTTAATACAAATTGCCATTTCTGCATTTTCTCAATCGAACTAGACATTGATGAAAACGAAGGATGAACTTGTGGTTGAACTTTCTTCAGAATCCATGATTCTACCGTGGACCCTGTTGAACCAGCTGCACAAATCTGGTGATAAAAAATAAGACATAATTACTTATCGATTTTAATCAGTAAGTATGTTGATAGGTATTTGTCTGTATGTCTGTCTGTTAGATGCACGCGATATCTCACGAAGGCGTGGTTGAATCTGCTCCAAATTTTGCATGTGCATTCATCATATCTCGAACCAGTAGCCTATTGATTTTGGATGAATTATGTCGTATAATTAGCGAGTTATTAATTAATTAGTGATGAAGTGATGAAGAGATCTGGATTTTTACAAAGCGAGAGATTTTCGAGACGCGCTGAATGTGTGTGTGCATATCCGATGCGCAAGTTTTCACGCTAGTGAGTCAGAGCGAAGGATACACACCGCTACATCGTGTCTCGTGATTAATCTTTAAGCATTGTCCATATCTCTCTTGTAACTTTGACGTCGTCGCGATGCGCAAGTTTACTTCGAGAAATTTCCCACGCTATTGAGTCAGAGCGAAGGATACACGCCGCGAGATCGTATCTCGTTACTTATAATTACTCTTTAAAGTTTAAGCAATGTCCATATCCCTCTCAGGTTCGGGGTTGCAGAATTCCTCACCAAAATATCGCTGGGCTGTGTTTGAATAGCCGTCGCAACCCGGGTTAGCGCCGTTGTATTTGACACAAAATATAGGATTGGTAAATAAGCTATTGGCTGGAAACTAATCGAAACAATCCAGTTCGGATTTGCAGAATTCTTCATAAAAGTATTTCCTCGAGTAGTATTTCGACGACGACATGGGGAGTTGGCTATTGTTCCTACATTTTTGATATTGGCTGAAAACTATTCAAAACAATCCAGTTCGGGTTTGCAGAATTTTTCGAATCGAAACCGCAGTTTCTGTTTTGGGGGATCCCCTAACTTTCGATCGATAAGTCTTCGGTCTCTGACCGATATAATAAGTTTGAGTCAAACTGTTACATTTAAGGCAGGGTTGAGCAACCTGCAGCTAGCGGGCCAAATGCGGCCCTCAAGGAAAAATCGTACAGCCCAAGGAGAAGTGCCAATTTTTGAATGATGTGCGGCCCGCGAAACGAGTTTCTAAATCAGTAATTCAAATCCCTCTACTTGAGTTCAATGTATTATCTACGCCCATGACTTTACAATACCCTAACAGCTAGCTTGTGCAAAGCGAACAATGCATATCATAAGATAAATACCCAAAATTTTTGTGCTGCAACTACTAGAAAACAGATGTTAAATAAAGGTGCGGCCGCAGTTTCAACGAGTTATTTCTATCTGGCCCTCCTGTAAGAAAGGTTGCACACCCCTGATCCATGACATAATTGCATAATGCAGAATATAGAAAATTTATGCATTAACATATCTGTATTTCAATGACTAGCTTGTGATCTCAAACAAATGCAAACTTAAGTTTAATTGGTTTTGAGTGATGTTTTATAACCAGCTTAGGTCTACAGTAACAAGTTTTCATAATATGCAGCCATATTTATAGAAAATGCATATATATGTCGTCAATCATAACACCAAATGAATATTATTTTTCACCAATATCGACATTTGATTTTTCATAAATTAATAATGGAATTTAAAATTGTACTAACCACAACACATTCAGTACTTGTTCCAGTTACAAATCGAGCGTGAGTTATACAGTTGTATTTGCCAGCAGAATCTTCGACACATTTTAGAGTAATATTGGGGAGTACATCAACCTGGGTTAAAAAATCAGAATGTTGGACTTTGCCATACATGGGTTAATATGAATCAAATTTTTTTACCTAGTTCACCATCATTTTCACCACAATTTTGTTTCGTAGAACTCAATAGAACACATGAACAAAACTTACTTCAAGCGATAATTTGTTTGTGTCATTGTTGTAGCGCAGCTCAATTGTCCAAAATTTTATTGGGTTGTTGATGTCACAATCAGTTGCCATGACGATAATATTTCCCTGATCTACATAAAGATATCAAAAATCAAAACACACAAAAAACATTGAAGAAGAAAATAGAGTAGATAAGAATGCTCATATTTACTTGAATATACAATATCCGCCAACATGAAATTTTCGGTGTTGCTCAGCTGCGCTTTCGCTACTATTGGTGCATCATCTTGTGTAACAGTAATACATTTTACGACTACAAGTCCAGACCCAGTAACAGAAATATACCTAAAAAAAATATTTTAGCTACATTTAGTACAAGAGTTTCAGTTTATACATACTTACAAGTAATATTTCAAGAACTCACCCTTCCATTGGTTGACCACCAAGTTGTGCAAGCGATGGTCGGTGATGAGCTCTCGATATTTTTTCTTTGGGATTGTCCAACTTGTCCACGTGAAGCACAACCTAAAGCATGCGAATATAAATAAAATAATAGAGAAAGATTCTGTTATCTTCTTTATCACTTTTATTACTCTACATAGAATTTCTTAACATCAATATCATACATTACTGAATAATCTGGTTTATAAATCAATTAAGAAAAAACGAGATAAAAATCTAAATATTTGAAATTTAATATCATTGATAGAAAAGATATATTTTAATTTTTAATTGTGAGAAATTTCACAACTTCACTCCAATAAATGCTTTCTGCAGTCCAGACTTACAATAGGATAGGATTTACATATTTATCTCGTGTGGAAAGGGAAAGACGATAAGACGCCTTAATCATGGGGCGAAAAACCGCGGCCTCTTTTCCGGTTACCAGTCCATGTCGGGTATAAGATTATTAAGCCAGTTATTTGTTTTCAGAAGCACGGACTTGATGATGGAGGATGCGTAGCCGACCAGTGGTTACGTGAACCACCCTACGAGACGAGGAGTCCAGCAATTCTCTCGCACATACCTATTCCTGCATGTGATTCTCATGCAGGGTAATCAGAGGTGCGGTGACAAGTGTATTCCTGACGCTTTGCATAATGCGCCACACCGCCGAGCCAGAGTTATTGCTCAAATTTTAAGTTGAAGTCTGAACACAATCAAATTGAAGTTGTATAATAATGACTGAAGCTGAAAACTAATTCAGCTAACTTCTGAATTAATATAAGTCTGTTTTAGAAAAAGGGATCATGTTTCAGGATTATAATATATAAGATAAAATATTTAAAAGTTGAACTGTGTGCTAGGCAGCTCCAAAAAATAACGATAGCTACTCCAAAGTACCTTTCTTCCATTCGATAGCCATGATGAGGCCAAAATATCTTCTCCTTGTAAGTCGCATCCATAAGTCGATTTTTCTTTCCAAACATTTGTCAGATGATTTGATGAAATCCATACATTGCAAAAACCAGTTGAAGTTGAGCAGAGTAACTTGTTGCCTTGTTACAGAAACAAAGATATACACGCTCAAAATGTATTAAATGCCAACTTTCTGTATCTCAAAAATGTCTGGAAAGCGTCTGTATGTTTATTTTTTGGTATGTCACCATTTTTTTATTTTATTGCACATGTAAATAAAACAAGACATAATTCGATTGTTACTTTCAATGAGATGAGTATATTCTTTGCTGCACTTTGAATATCAGGTTCAATGGAAAACGTATTTACAAGATTTAAAAATCAGGGTAGCGAGCTGACTAGCCTAACGATATCCCGCTGCATTAGCACACGACTCAAAGATGACTCATCAAAATTATACGAGCAAAATTCACGCTTGATCACGTGTAATAGCAAGCACTAATCATTTTCACGAAGTTGACTGCAGATGGTACCACAGTCTATCAAACGTCCCTACTGAAACACTGATAAAGTTTACAGTTGATGTATATTTATATGTGAATAGAAAAAAGGTCAAAATCTAGACAATCTAATAATAGCTGAAATGTTCAATTTACCTGTTTGATTCCATTGCAAAGTTTTTACAGAAGCTTTATCGAATGATATTGTGTGGACATCCCATGGCTGATTTGGATCAATGATGCTGACATATCTTTCTGTATATCCTGAATATTGATTATAGCATTAGCATACTATATATTAGCGATCGGCAACCCGAGAGTTCCGCACACGGTTTTATGTTCTACAGTTCTATAAGCTCTGGCTCACACCCCTTTCTTTGTTAAAAGCACTATAGATTCAATGACAGAGGAGGCATAAAGCCATATAGCCCTACTCCTCACTAATTACACATCATAGCGGTTCCCAAAGTATAAGTCGCGAGCCATAAAAATAAGTTAAGGTGATGAATGTCAACAAACTTTTTTATTTCTATTTTACACATTTTTTTCATTTCGTCATAAGCTGCATAATTGCATCATTTGTATTCCATTTATCGTTTCTTCTTCGTACTGTAGTAGGAACTAAACTATTACATCATAAGTGGTTTTTGAGAGTTTTAATAGCCACTGACATTAGAATAGATGATGCGGCTCCACTGATTTAGTCTATTTGTTAAATATTTCTAAATTTTGAAAAGCTTTCATTACTGCATTCAGTCATTACAGGCATCAAGCTACTTAGCTAAGTTTGAATTCAACTCTATTCATTTTGAGAGCTGCTAAATTTGATTTTTGAATCGACATTGTTTTGAACACTTTCAAAAGCTAAAACGATGCGAATAGTTTAACAAACCGCTTAGAAAGCAACAAGCAAACTTCATTAAGGCAGAAAGAAACCAACCTTTGACTACTTTTTCCCATGGATATGCCAATAGATTATTGCATGACCATGTTGCAGATATGGGACTAGAACTACTGGAGTGGCCGAGAGATTGAACTGATGACTTTGCATTTGAACTAATCCGATAAACAAGCTCCATCTTCTTGTTGATTATACAGATAACAAGCTACGCCTGCGAGCAAACGATTACATTGATTGAAAGGGGATTCCCCGTCCGCTAGAATCTTAGAATATGTCCGCCCAATTGGTCCGCCTCACAAAGCGCTATATATTTTTTAAGAATCCACGTTAAGAATATGAACATGCAATACAGTCGTAAATATATAAATACAGTACATTGATTATAGGCATGAATGAAAATAGCGGATACGGCAGCAGCATCTAAAATCAAGACAATATAAGATCTTGAATACCTAGTGCGGAGCGGAGAACATAATTAAATAAAACACTACATGAAAACTTACATTTTGTGAAAAAACTCAATATTCTTGTACGAATACGTGGTACACGAAATAAACCCATGGACCTTTATGTTATTTTTGGACACGAAATATACCCAAGGATCGGTGTGTTATTTTGTTGATCACCATGTTAATATTTTTTTATTTCTTCTTATTATTATGCAAATATCGCTTTTCTCGTCAACTACTGGACCGATTTTTAGTGGTTAGGCATCGTATATTTTATTTATTTATTTTAGAAATTTTTGTGGCCTTTATGGAATTTGTTTTTGAGTGCGATGACGTTTCTGGGGTTCATTTTTTTTTCTTCCATCGACGAACGAATGACCGTCGTGACAACGATCCACTCGCATGATTGGACTTTCTGACACTTTAAATTCACTACTAAACTGATGGAAAATTAGGAAGTCTTTACATATATTGAAGCCGGCGACAATATGGAAGCAGTAGTGGAATTCAGTCGGTTCGCACCGGTTCTATAGAACCGCCTCAAGGAATTTTATGAGATCAGCGAACCGGTTAGCATTACTGAAAAAAACATGACTTTTTGTAACAGAACACGATGAAAAATATGACATTTGTGTGATGGAACCGGCTGAAAAAAAAATTGAATCCCACCCAGTGATTTCCCTACCCCCCTAAAATTTCACCCCCCCCCCCCCCCCCCCCCGCCCCTGCCCCTCCCCCCTAATTTTGAGGTGCTATTCCACACTGCATTTCCTAACTCAAGTATAATTGTATTCAAATATAACGACTATGGCATATTTATCAGTGTAGATGAGTGGTCCCAAAACGCAGTCCGCGGGCCAATTACGACCCGCGTAACGATTTAAAATGGCCTGCCGAACTTGAGTGGAATAGTTTAACAGTCCATGTGGTACTATTTGAGTTTTAGATACAGTCTATCGTTACATCATTATCACAGTTTAAGCACGTTCATTTCGTAACAATTGAATTATACCGGTATCTTATGTATACGTATGGGTATTAGGATTACACACTGCAGTATTTTAGATATCAGCCGTATATTAAGAAGGCTTGAAGATCACAATACGAAAACTAGGCACTGAAAACAGACATTTTTTAGATGAATGGCATCGTTTTTATTTCTTTATTGGAAAGAATCAAACGTTATCGATTTGTCTTCCTTGCCAACAAAATATTTCAGTTCTGAAGTAATACAACGACGCGCGTATTTCAAAATTTTATTTATACAAAAGTCAAACAAACATGTTCAAAAATATGTCAAATGTGTAACAAAACAAGCCATAAGTAGCAATTCATACGATGCCATATGCTAGATGAGCAAGTATCTTCATTAATAACTATCAGTTGCAAATTACTGGGTCTTACTACTTACTGAATAGAGCGCGAAGAGCGCAAAACAGCGCAGAAGAGATGGAAATATTTTTCTTTCATTATTTATTAGCGTCCGTGAAATTTTAAACAATTTGATGAGAAACAGTTTACAGTGGTACAGAATGATCACGAGTTTATATCAGCAATCTTCAACATCTTTAAATAACCAAAAATGATCACCCTAACCTGGTACACATACTGTGTTCAGGTTGTGCGTCATCTTGGTACACATACTTCATGACGCACCCTTACCTGGTACACATAGCCTACTGTCTTCAGGTTGTGCGTCATCTTGGTCCACATACTTCATGACGCACCCTAACCTGGTACACATATATACTGTGTAATCTCGTAATCATTCCCTACTAGGCCTACTGTATGCTGTTTCCCATCCAATTGTTTAAAATTTCATAGACGCTAAGAAATGATGGAAGAAAAATGTTTCCATCTATTCGCGCTCTATTCAGTAAGTAGTCATACCGCAAATTACTTGCTGAAAGCCGTGCTTGTCATTTATTTCTCGGAAATTCTATCAGCTAAATATTATAATTATTAATTTTATTACATAACAAACTGCGATGCTAGGTGTATCTAATATCGAGCATAGAGCCTATTTCTCAAAATTTTCCCAGAAACCCATCCGTGCCGTTGCGCACTTTTCCTCGCTCCCTTTTTCTGGCCTTACAATTTTATTCTGCTGTGTATTTTGGCTCGCCGTCAATCAACTTCGGGGACCCCTCAGGTACATAGTTTCTTAAATACATATCAATTTTCTAAGAATACAAATAGTCATGTCGCGAACCACCCCTCCCCTAAAATGAAAAGCTGATCAGTATGTTCCCACCAAATTCTTCAGTTACCCCTCTCTCATTCCTGACGTCATAATGAAAATGCAATGAATATTGATTTTTGAAGCAATCAAATGGGAAAAGTTGTATGTTTGGTTGATTAATTTGCGTTCCAAGGGGGTCTACTACAGAACTCAAAATTACAACTAATGCAACTGCTTCCACGATCAACATCAACTTCACCCATCGACAAATCTGGCAGCTAATCAACTTCATGTAAATGAAGAAAACTGCAAGTTGCTTGATAAACTATTGTAGATAGTTAATTCGGTAGAGATAATATATTTAAACGCCGACATGGTACAATAAGATCAGAGACCACCTTATTAATGATGGAAGTCCTGGCGACTTTCGTTTGTGCGCCCATAATGCGTAATAAAGAACATAATAAGTGAACTTTCTCAATTCTAGTAATAATCCCAGCGTAGAGGAAAGTTGAAAATAACGGCCCCGGTTACTGATTGCTTCTACCTTGAGTAAGACAAATAATTACATAGGATGGTAGTTCAAATCGGGCACAAAAGTCCAATTTGTCAAACCCCCCAGAAGATAACAAAAGTATTTTTTGCCAATCAGGCAGGAGGAAAAAATTGATACCCATTTCCATATTTACATGACCTGGTAAAAAAGAGCTGTGGTTCGACATGATGGAAGTCCTGGCGACTTTCGTTTGTGCGCCCATAATGCGTAATGAAGAACATAATAAGTGAACTTTCTCAATTCTAGTAATAATCCCAGCGTAGAGGAAAGTTGAAAATAACGGCCCCGGTTACTGATTGCTTCTACCTTGAGTAAGACAAATAATTACATAGGATGGTAGTTCAAATCGGGCACAAAAGTCCAATTTGTCAAACCCCCCAGAAGATAACAAAAGTATTTTTTGCCAATCAGGCAGGAGGAAAAAATTGATACCCATTTCCATATTTACACGACCTGGTAAAAAAGAGCTGTGGTTCGACATGGTGGAAGTCCTGGCGACTTTCGTTTGTGCGCCCATATTGCGAAATAAAGAACATAATAAGTGAACTTTCTCAATTCTAGTAATAATCCCAGAGTGGAGGAAAGTTGAAAATAACGGCCCAGGTTACTGATTGCTTCTACCTTGAGTAAGACAAATAATTACATAGGATGGTAGTTCAAATCGGGCACAAAAGTCCAATTTGTCAAACCCCCCAGAAGATAACAAAAGTATTTTTTGCCAATCAGGCAGGAGGAAAAAATTGATACCCATTTCCATATTTGCATGACCTGGTAAAAAAGAGCTGTGGTTCGACATATGACTATGCAGTCTCATCATTTTTTTGTCTTTCAGAATATAAAAGAAAATCATATCCAACCATAAAGGCATTCATCCCTTTGACTATATTTTATCATTTTTGACAGGTAGAAATATACAAGTACTTTACTTGTAATTGTTAATTCGGTAATTACAGTCCTAATGTTTTTCAGTTTCTTCGCGAACTATGACAGCGTGCTTCCCAAGATATTTTTGTTGTTTTATAGTTGATTTGCTTGAAATCTAGCTAAGTACGATTCCTCGTATACAATTTTCAATATTGTGTTTGAGTCTGCCATTCCAATAGAAATTAATCAAACTCATGTTCCAGAAAACTGACCCAGTCTGTGAGTGTTGGCTCAACTCCCGATGGCTGTAATGCAAAAATCAGTGTTAATCTTCAAAACATTGAAACACAAATGAATTGTACACTGGGCGCTCCAGAAGTGCGTGTATGGAGGTAACTAATTTTGTTGTGTAAAGGGACTGAAACCTATGGGCAGGGAGTATATTCACTTGACTACTACAGACAGTCCCCGAACTCGTAATAGAACTAAAATAAGGAAAATGGGAAAAAAAATTATGGCCTAACCCTAACCTGGTACACGCACTACGGGAGTACCCACTGTTGTTACCTTCATATGAGATACTGTGCTATTCTGGATTCCTTGCACATCTTTTAATAGAATACTTCCTGTGTTGGGATAACCCTCCGGTACATGTAATGTGCAAGTGCGAGACCCAACGATGACCAATAGCGTGTTTTCACTAGGAAGCCAGTCTATCGCCGATCTGAAATAATGAAAGGAACTTCAAATTATGGTGCTTCCAAAGTATTCGGGATGGCGCACAACCTGAACATAGTATGTGTACCAGGTTAATGTTGTCCAGGTTGTGTGTCATCTTGGTACGAATACTTCCGGAGCGCCCAAATGGAGATTTAAATACCTTACATGAAATTAAATATGGAAAATATCAGAAAATTGTACTTTTGACTAGCTCATGAGCAATGTAAGCTTCACTCACGTTTTCCGAAGTTTCTCAATCTCATCTGAGAGACTACTGTTCTTCTCAAAACGCATTTGAAGCTCTGGTATCATTTCCGCAAAATTATTCCCTGCAACCGCTCTAGATATTATGTCGTCTGTAGAAACGCAGCAATCACCGACCTGTAAAAAAACAATTAAAAAGTCCATGCTTCCAAACGCAATTAACTAACTAATCCCATATCAGACATGGAATGGTAACCGGACGAGAGGCCGTGGTTCTCTATATGGTTAAGTTGTCTTATAGCTTTCCTCTCCCTCTGGATAACTATGTAAATCCTATCCTGTAAATATCTCGATCAAGCAATGATCTGTTGCAAATCAAAACACCTAAGGCATGCTTGATACCAGAGTTGATAAATCAGGTGCCTACTTACAATTTTTCAAATAAAACTTACTTTCACGTCGATAAGTTTGGTTGGATGAGGTGGCTTTTGTTTTGCAAGATGTAAATCCACAGACACATTCGATTTCTAAAAAAATGATTAGAAGTGCAATGGCTTGTATTTGGTAGAAAAGATGTTTCTCAAGATAGGAAGCTAAAGTATACTTACATTCTCAGGACTACCATATGATATTTGCAACGAGCGATAATCTGCTGTTTCAGATTTCACTGTAACTCCGCTTAGTTCTTCAGACAATGCAAGAGATAGGCTGTACAATATTATAATATTACAACATTAAATGACAAAAAATTAGACCTTTGTACACACTAAAAACCACGATTCCCATGTTTTTATTTTGTAGTTGCGATTTAAATTTAATTTGTGTAACATAGTCATGTGATGCCGTAATGGTACACTGTGATCTACCTACAAATGTGACATAACAATGGATAGTCATGTGATGCCGTAATGGTACACTGTGATCTACCTACAAATGTGACATAACAATGGTAATATGTGTGACAATGATAATTTTTTATTGTGAAACAACGAGCATGTTACATGTATGATATAAGCGAAATTAGTTTATTTCTGTATTACGCGTTTAGACATCTATTCGGTAAAATCTGTGTTTACAGACTGGTGCTCAGAATTACATAAACAACTCAAGTTCGAAAAACTCAAATTCGTCAAATAATGATTTATGGAATTTTGTTACTAGCATAAGGATATATGTATTTATAATATATTTTGGCTTTTTATGCCCCATGCTTGCAGAATACAATTTGAAAATATATGAGATTTATTTGGGCGCTATTCTAATAAACATATACTCTCACAGATAAAAATGACTGAAATATGCAACTATTAACAACAAAAATAGCATTAACCATAACAATTTCCACGTATAGGAAAAATAAAATTCTCCAATGGTATGTGACAATGTTGTGATATAACACCTGAGCAAGTCCTTGGGCTTTTGCTCGGGCTCCATATTCTTGAAAAACTTCTCTAAATCCATCAATACTTTCTGTGACCTGTCTTCTACTTTATTTTTTTCAATTCTTTTTTCCAGTTTCAATATTTCTGTACAAACAAACTTCTTTTTTCAAATCTCTATACCTATTATTATTATTTTTTCTATTACAGATTTATCACATCTCAGAATTAATAAAATTCTGACTTATGAACAAAACTATCAGTTTATAGGTAGTTCTAGAAGATAAATTCTAGTATATTCCATTTTTAGTTCAACTGACCAATTAGCGCCAACTTTTCAACAATATTTTGTTTCTGTTTAGCAATCAATGTGGCAGCTTCGGTATCTGTCATGCATTTGCCTTTGAATATCTCACATCTTTCATCAAACTGTTTCTCAAGTACTTCAAGCTGTTCATTCTAGAATGAAGGATGTTATTTGGAATCTTGGATAGGATTTACATATTTATCACAGCCATGTCCGCCATCTTGGTTCGCATACTTCGGGAGCACCCATAATTAAGATGAACCACAGCGCTTGTCGGGTAACAGTCTATGTTGGGTATAAAATTAGTTAGTCAGTTAGTTAACCAACTAGCAGTTACGTGAACCCACTGCAGCGTGCAGCGGCAACGAGTCCAGCACTCATCTTCCACGAAATTAACCCCACAAGGGATTCGAACCTGCGAATCCTCCGGGGTAATCAGAGGTGTAGTGGTGAGTGCATTGGCACAGTGCGCTACACTGCCATGTGACAGATAAAAATCTTACTAAAGTAAATGTTATGAAGTGAAGGATATAACAGGAATAGTTTTAATTTTCTTTTTTATGGACATTTCTGCAACACCCCGCTAGTTCTTTAATGATAATGGAACTTTGGATGAATATAAATTTTTTATGATATTGAATATAGTATGCGATGGTAGGCAATAAATAAACAACCTTTTTATTAATTTCCTCAAACTCAAAATCAACACTCGACTTCAATTCACAAATCTTTTCTGCTTCATCCAAAAGATCTGACAATTTTGCAACACTTTCATTCAATTGATTATATTTTGTTTTTTCTTTCGTATATTCATCAACCATTTCTTTCGTCAGTTCGCCTAAAATGTATAAACTCTTATATTTTTGTTTTGTAACGAAACACAAAATACCATAAAAGACAAAAATTTACCAACAGTCTTCTGCGTCATCCAGTCGTTTTGACCTTTTTTCAATTCGTTTAGGAATTCATGATAACTCATTAGTTGTTTCAGAATGTGTTTCAGCCTCCATCTCTTTTCAACAATCTGCATAAAAAGAAGTCGTATCGTGATGATATTCCAAACAGGAGTAGTATACAACAATTATTCCAAGTATATCGGGGGGCTGACTCTAATGACCGTATGGTCGTATCGCTCCAAGTTCATACCGAAAAACATTTTGTATGTTGTTGTACATGTTGTTGACGAAAAATAGATAAATCTCTCTCCTTCAAGTCACAGTTGAAAATTGGTATATAAAGAACATTTCTGAAGCAAGATGGATTTAATATCGACATGAACAATACATATAGACATTTTTAGTTTATTTCAATCAGGAGATGGCATAATCAAACTGAATCGTATAAAGATGACAAGATATAATATATAAGACAATAAAAACTAGCAACCTTGCTAATTTGATGGAAGCAATTTGAAAAGTATCCATTAGAATCACCAATGCAATTAAGAAGATCAAAATGTTCAATAAATTATTTCCTGTTTTTTATGAAAATAGTTTATAAATAATATCGAAATTATTGAGGAATTTTGTTCCACGATTTGAAAGCACGATTAGATAATTCAAATATCAGACTAATATATTTATGAAAATAATGTACTATTTTGCGCTTGGAAACTTTTTCTTACATTCAACAAAGCAGTATTGTTGGTAATAGCTTCATTGGATGAAGCGTTGAGATGGTTGGTCAATTCTTTCACATTGTTAAAGAAAGCATCCAAATTCCTGTAAATAAAAGTAAATAAATCTTCAGTTCGTGCATTTATAATCACTGCAATAGCATGACTGTCACTAGTGGACTATAAACAACACAATGCAGCAATGAACCTGCCAACAGGTACAGAAGTGACGGTACAGCAGTGAAGTGGTTTACACATTTTTTTGTCATCAACTTCAATTAACGTAATACAGTAATAAAATAGCATGAAATAATACCCTGCTGTACACATGTTGTGTTGTGATTTTGTTGAAAGTTGTTCCATCTCACATTCGTTCGAAATCAAGTTTAAAGACTGAAAAAACAGAAGAATTTGAGATAGACTAGCCTAGGTAAGCTAAATTGCATGAATTCCTTATGTAATTTAATGTGAATGCCCAACAAAATTTTCTAATCCTATCCTTGTTAAGTAGTCATATTATTGAGTTGAAGCCAAATGGCACAGTTCTCCGATTCCAAGAATAGACCCCAAATTAAAAGACATCGATTGCAGAATCTGAAAATTCTGTGTGCAAACCCTTGCTTTACGAGACAGTCTGGGCCTTCACATCGCCACATATCGCAATTTACAGATAACTTATAGACTACTAAAAAAAGCGCAATCTAAAAACGTCATTATTGGATTCCTCGGATTCCTGTATTTACAAAAGAAAAAATAAACATTATTGCAAGGTAGCTTTCAAGAGTTTTTAGCACGGTACCGGTAAGGCGGTACCCGACACCGAAATCAACAATCAGACAGTACCGGTACCATGGCAAGCACATTCTCAACGCTCAGCACTGGACAACACTAAAAGGCTGAAGGAAGAAACGGATGAAGTGGAGGGAAAACGGAAGTTGAAGTGTTCCCAAAGGTGAAAAATTAAAAAACACTAAAAGGCTGAACACTAAAAGGAAGAAGTGGATGAAATTTCTTCCGACGAATAATGAGGTGGTTGAAGTCACTAAAAAGCTGAACAGTAAAAGGAAGAAGTTGATGAAATTTCTTCCGGCGAATAATGAGGTGGTTGAAGTCACTAAAAAGCTGAACACTAAAAGGAAGAAATGGATGAAATTTCTTCCGACGGATAATGAGGTGGCGGAGGTCACTGAAAAGCTGAACACTAACAGAAAGAAGTGGATGGAATTTCTTCTGACGGGTGGTGAGGTGGCTGAAGTCACTAAAAATCTAAACACTATAAGGAAGAAGTACGTTAGGGTTAGATGATATTTTGTCTTAACAATTTTGAGGCGGTTGAAGTCACTAAAATACCGAACATTGGGAGAGTTAAATAGCCAAAACATATCCCAACGGAAGTGAGATTGGATGAAGACCCTGAAAGCGGACTGATGAGTAGGCATGCCCCTTTTAGATTTATGAATTGAATCGATTCAAATCGCAATTTTTTTCGAATCTGATTTACGCGATTCGAAAGAAAGAGAGCCATTTAGCGAAGAAAAACAAACACTCCAAATAACACCAATTGCCAGACGGGAATGTAAATGAATTTTTCGTTATTTACTTTTATTGATCTGCCTTCATTCATTTTCATGTTCAGCGCAACACACCCTGATCATCACTCGAGATGCTGACGTGCTGTGTGGGTAATTAATTTCCTTCAATCTGTCAGTTGAGTATTCCACTGAATGACCTAAGTTTCTATCACACGCAAATTTAAATGGATCGTATACCCGAAAGTTCGTTGCAATTTTGTTAAAAATATGCAACAGCACACCTTCTCTGCGACTAAGTTATGGTACGCCTTGACATGAATTGATAAACGATCAGATACCGACTTCTAGAAAACATTTAATTTTGATTGAAATTTAATTTAAACTTCGTTGAAATTGAAATATTGGTACTACTGAAGTATGCGCACCAAGATGTCGCACAACCTGATCCCTAACCTCGTACACCAGTGATTTTCAACCTTTTTTGTATCGCGGAACACTTTTTTTATTCTAAAATTGTGACGGAACCGGAACTCCAAATGAGATTTTTGGAAATAAACTATATTATGCAATCAACTGACATCGATCATTTCGGAAAAAAATAAATTAAAGAGATTAATATTAGCTTGTCAACTTCAGCTGGAAAAGACGTTACACATATTCCGATTCAGAGCTACCGATGAGCTAGGAACAGAAATGGTATTTTAATGTAATATCTGGGCCTGTTTCGATGAGTTTCAATTTTTTATTCTGGCTGGAATTTAATTGAGAGAGACAAACACGCAGCTCTTTCTCGACGACTCTCAATTTTTCGTGTTTTTATACTCTTATGGCGGCCAAGAAAAGGGTGGGCAAAATCGAATATTTTTTTCGAATCAAATAATTCGAATATTCTTAACAAATACCGAATAGTCCAATACCGAATATTTTTTATACGCAGCAGGGTCCAGAACGTCGGAGGTAGATTTGGAAATTAATAGAAACATTGAAAATCGGCAACAAAGCGATTTTTACTGGTTAATTTCGTCATATGCGCTGATATTTTGTCCCCCTGAACGTTTTTAAATTCCCGCCATTTGTTCTTTTGCGCAACTATTAATTCCCGTGGGTCGGCGGAGATCGAGATTTCATATTATTGATATAACTATGAGTTCACATCAGCGACAGATTTTAATGACATTAAGGAGTGATTTCAAAGCCAAATTAATTGTATTCTGATATTTATCTTCGCCGACTCTGATCTAACTTATCGCCGTTTGCAAATTAAACGTCCCAGTTTTAAGCAAATAATATTATCATTATCGTCAACGGGATGCACACATTTATTATTAAGACGACAATTGACTTTCTTAGGCTCAGTGTTATTTTCGAAATAAATCAATTTGATACTGTGATTAGATAAATCTGTGAAGCTGTGATTGCGTGAATAAAGAATGTTGATTTAAAATCTGAAATAAAGGCATTTCTACGTTGTCGTTTGGCAGCACTCTTGAACGATATTTTACATACGCGACCTGATACCAAAAAATTGTAAACAATTTTGTGCCCAAGTGCTTTTCGTACCTAGTAGAAGGGAAGACGCTAATTATAATTAATCACCTCAAGTCACCATTTATTTTACAACAAATCAATACCCCGACCAATATCATAGCTAATATCGTTACCGGGAAATTCATAATTTTATTTACGGAATTTGCAAATTCAACACTCCACTTGACGATTTTGATGATGCCACGCCCTAATTAATACTGCAAGAAAAGCTTCAAAATGCAACAAATGTAGTCAATTCCGATGATGACTCCATCCATGGTCGAGTATAATGTTCACATTTTTGAAACATTATTTGGTCAAGGATGAAATGGATCACTAAAAATACACGCCGAGCTATTAGAAAGTCCATTAAAAGAAAGTATGGCCTGTCATTTCTTATCTGGTTATAAGTTTTTATACCGGCTTTTCAAAACTCTGACTCGCCATTTTCAAATCTATGCTATTTATATGGTACTCCCGTGGTATGTGAACCAAGATGGCGGACACACGAACGTAGTATGTGTACCAAGTTAGGGTCAGGCCATAACTTCAGGTACGAATACTATAGGAGTCACCTGGCTAGTCCCCGAACTCGTAATAGAACTAAAATGAGGAAAATTTGAACAAAATTTTGGCCTAACCTGGTACACATACTACGTTCTGGTGTCCAACGTCTTGGTTCGCATATTACAGGAGTACCAATTATATAACTCGAATTTTCTGACGACCTAAAATTGCCGTTTTCACCATGTATCGAAAACGTCTTTGTAACTCTTAATTTCCGAAAATGATTTTCTATTCGGGTCATGCATGCGGAGGCTGGTAACTTTATTTTAGATATCTTATTTGGGTTGACGTTTCTACATTTACGGACTAGTGTCGGCACGCTTTTTGCAAAATAACAGTGGAGGCCGAGGGTGAATTCTCGCGTAATCCAAGCGATCGATTTACCGGCGTGAATTCCGTGCCCAAGCAAAGCGGTACAGATTATGTGGTAGGAATAGTAAAATGGCATTCGAATATTTTAATATTGTATTCGCTATTCGAATATTTTGCACAGCCCTAGACCGGCCATGCTTAAAAAACTCATTTCGCAAAGATAGGTAGTAGAAAATGATAGCAAGATTGGAAGCGGTTGTGAACCGCGCTTTGTGAAATTTATATAAATCCATCGGACTATTAAATATCAGTTATGACGTCATAATACTGCAAAAAAGCAATTTTCCGCGGAACACCCGGAGGTCTCTCGCCGGTTGAAAATCAATGATCTATAGCAGTGGCCGGCAACCTTTTTTCAGTAACGGACCGGTAAAGCCTGACCAAAATTTTGGCGGACCACCTTTATACAAACGAACTAATCTAATAAATAATATGCGTTAGAAAATGTATGTTGACAATACATTCAAAAACGAAGGTGATACTATTCACGTAACGTATTTCTTACGTTAAACCCACTTCGATCTTTCGTTTTTGTAATTGCCATTTTAAAAACCCAACCTCACATGAAGATAACAATGGCATTGTACGTTTTCATGTCACCTTTCTGCGGACCGGTAGTGACCTTTCCGCGGACCGGCGATGGGCCGCGGCCCGGTGGTTGCCGACTACTGATCTATAGTATATGAAGGAATTTGCATACAATAAACAATGGAATAACTGTTATCTACAACATGACTATATTACCATGCATTTCATGTTTGCAGATTACTGCGATATATTTTTATATACCATGAGTTACGTTATCAGAATTAAATTAATACGGCAAGCATTTAAAATAGTGCTATCGGTCATAGATTTGAACATTTTGCGCAACACAAAATCATCCTAGTAAAAGTCCATACTTTTAAATACCAACCATTATCCAAATTATTTGCAAAAAGCGGGATAAAGTATAAATTATATTTCTGACTTGCGACAATTTTTTCGTGAGTACGTAAATACGAATGGATTTTTTTTATATTCGGGCACTTCAATGTCCGCATATATATCTTTTATTATTTTATAAATACGAAAATATGTATCAAGAATTAATTATAATCGGGCAGTTTACCACACATTTTAAGTCCATGGATCGCCGTTGTATTTTGTAAATACGAAAATAGGAATCAAAAATTAATAATAATCGCGCAGTTGACCACACATCTATGTACATAGATTGCCGTGATATTGTGCCCGAATATAATTTATTTTTGATTCCGTATTTCATTCCTTGAACTTAATATCTGTTTTTATAAATTTTGCAAGCAGTTCACGCACGAAGACTTTGAATAATGATGTATTAGTCAAATCGAAGTCCTGTTAGACCACTGGTTCTCAACCAATGGGCCATGGGCCACTGGTAAGCCTCAGAGGCATTTTGAGTTGGGCCACAAACATATTATAAATTACAAGGTTTGTTGATCTAGAACAGCTAGATATGAAAATATATATATATTAATTTGTTTGCACATTACATCAAAATTAAAAAGAATATAACGAGAATGTCATGGCCTTCAATTCGCCAGGCTCGAACTGAGCATAACATATAAAAAATTAACAAAAAACGAAACCACGAGGACATTGTCTTATAAATACGAACAGAACAAACATTAAATTACCCAATTCCTAATATATTAAATTTTCAAGTATTCCTCACTATCCGTCGGAAGAAATTTCATCCACTTCTTGCTTTTAGTGTTCATCTTTTTAGTGACTTTAACCACCTTATTATTCGCCGGAAGAAATTTCATTCACTTCTTTCTTTTACTGTTCATCTTTTTAGTGACTTCAACCACCTCATTATTCGTCGGAAGAAATTTCGTCCACTTCTTCCTTTT